AGGCGCCGAGCCAGTTTTTGAGTTCTGAGTGTAGATATATGATATTTGGTCAGTTTCTTGATTTTCCTTAGGCTCGGTTTCTTTGCATGTGACAGTGGCAATCACAAAAACACTGTCATGAAAATAGAAGATGGGCGGCCGGGCCTTAAAATGACTGGTTGAGTAGGCTCGCTAGGCCGGCGTTGTAAGATTTGGGGACGTCGGAGTCGCCATATACACCGAAGGGACGTGGAGCACACAGAAACACCACTTTCTAGGATGGGAGATACCCTAGCAAGAGTGAGCGCGGCCAGCCGATGCCAAGGTCTTGCAACGCATGCTGGGATACCCAGCGGCGGGTAGTAATTGGTCCCGCCCCATGGACTGACGAGAAATACAGCCAATCAGAGCGGGTAGCGTGCGGAAGCGGAAGTGAGGTTTCCGTGGAGACTGCGGAGCCTGCGGAAGGCGGCGGCGACGGCTGTGGCACCTGCTAACAGAGGCTGGGTTACGGGACGGTGGCGCCCACTGCGCTGTGAGAGTGGAGCGGCGACGGGGTCCACCATGTGCCGGTGGCCCTGACATGGGCGCCAGCGGCTCCAAAGCTCGGGGCCTGTGGCCCTTCGCCTCGGCGGCGGGGGCTAGCAGCCCAGAGGCGGCGGCCGCTGAACAGGCTTTGGTGCGGCCTCGAGGTCGAGCCGTGCCCCCCTTTGTATTCACGCGCCGCGGGTAAGGGCGTGGGTTCTTCCCCGGGGAGGACAAGTGGGTGGCCAGGTGCCCTGCGCCAAGGGAAGATGTTTGCTATTGCACTCCCCTGCTCTCGAGCCATAACAATTCCCATATTTTGGGTTCTCATCGAAGCAAGGGGTAGGGAAAGCTAAGCAGTCAACTTATGGCGTTCTGGCCACTCCCTAGGGAACAGCGGGGCTGAGGCTTGTCCCTGAGGGAGCCTTCCGCACGGTAAAGCTAACATAAGGCCTCCAAGAGAACTCAGCCTGCAAATTGAAGGCTCCTAGCCTCCCTTTCCCCCACTTTTTCCAAGGGGTTAATGACCCTCCGTTTAGGCTGCTTCCCTGACAGTGGTAGAGTTGGACCTCTGAGGGTAGTGGCTGGGAAAGCAGGACTGGGTCCCAGCCTTAGGGGTCAAGCTGGGAGATTTAAAGATCCTCATCCAGTTACATTTTCCAGATCTGGAGCGCTGACAATACCCTCCTTTTTCACCCACGGGCCTAATCTGGTACAAAAAAGTACCAGGTTAACTTGGCCCTAGAGGGTTCTTGGGGATGGGTACTCGTCAAGCTGGAGATTGATTTGGTGATACATCCCAGGGAGACCCAACAGAGGCAATTTGCACCAGTCACTTGAGGGAAATACGGCCTTCCCCTCTTCAGGCTCCTGATCCCAGCTGAGGCATTTGCTGTTTCAGTCTTTGGAACAGAGCCAGCAAACATGGTCTTCTGGAGCAAGACTAACGCACAATATATACCCAGGCCACCACCCTGTCCACTCTAGAAGTTGTGGGTGAAGGCAGGGGCCTGATATTGGAATGGCTGCTTATGCTAAACAAACCAGTGATGAGAACTGGACTTGGTTGCCTGAATAGTGTACTGTGGTGTGGCTTCTCTCCATAAGCATCTGACTTAGTAGCATTTGCCATTAACCCCATTCCCCATTTTCTTTTAGTAGACCTCAAACCTCAGGCAGAGGAGTCTCCAGATATATCCTCTGTTCTTCCCACCAAAATTGTTTCTCCCCACTTGGGGTTGGGCCCACTTCCCTGTGATCTATGGTATTTGCTATGAGCAGGTGTAGGACTCCAGCCCAGCCTGTTCCCCTTTCCCTCTACACAGCTCCATGTTCTATGACGAGGATGGGGATCTGGCTCACGAGTTCTATGAGGAGACAATCGTCACCAAGAACGGGCAGAAGCGGGCCAAGCTGAGGCGGGTACATAAGAATCTAATTCCTCAGGTGAGGAGCTGGGCAGTTGTCACAGAGCCTATATCAAGCGTGTGGAGGTAGACCCAAATGGAATCTATTGGCATGGTGGGGGCCTATGGGGGAGGAGCTGGGAGGAACAGGAAGGCTTCAGTAGAGGCCTTGTCCTGACCTTCATTATCCTCTGTTTCCATGGCAGGGCATCGTGAAGCTGGATCCCCCCCGCATCCACGTGGATTTCCCTGTGATCCTCTATGAGGTGTGAGCCTGGGAGGTGGCAGACACAAGCACCCACTGCCCCAGCAAAAAAAACCCAAGCTCAAGGTGTGGATTCCATTGAGGAGTCCAGGCTGGGGCCACAATCCAGAATAAACTCCATTGGCCGGAACCTTCAGCTATGAGCGGGTCATGCCCGCAATGTTGGTTGGGTGTTGGTTTGGACAAGAGGTGGTTAATGGCTGGCAGTGGCGAATGGCAGACTTAGCAGCCTACTCTCCCCAGCCATCCCTGCAAGAAGCATGGCAGGGCATATATCCATCAGGAATGCCTGGTTCCTGGTTCCTTGCCTGGCCTGCTTTCTTCCAAGCTTGCCTGGGGCCCAGCCTTGCTAGTGGCTATAGCACTTTATGAGTAAGGTCTGCCTTCTTCCAGCCCCTGGGCTGTGGGGGCTGTACATAAATGGGAATTTCCTTTCCTTCACTTCCCTTTTATCTCCTAGTCAGAGCATTTCAGCCGTTTGCTACCTCGATTCCTCCTGTGTTAGACAGAGACTGGGGCCAATACCAGCCTGATTATTCCCACTTAACCTGCCATTTGTTCCCACTCAGATGGATAGACAGTCTGTTGGCTGTTGATAGGAATGGGGACTGGTATGGAAGGCTTCTTCCACCACCCAGGACTAGGCTGATCACCACTACAACCGGTTATTGCCCCCTCCCTCCAAGTTGAGAGGGTGCAAGCTGGGGTCAGGATGGGCTGCGGATGCTTGTGCCTATGGGGGGTTACTCCATCCCACCTATTCTAATCCTCCATGCCTTGCACCAACACCCTCCCTGCAGTCGGGAGGGGACTGTCCACCATCTCGTGGTAAAGGACTATACCGTAAGGCTGATGCCAACAGCTATAAGTAGCCCACCACCCCTTCAGGATCAGTCAGGGGAAGTACTGGAGCCCATGGGTAGGGACAGAAAGGAGGGGGTAAAACCATAAAAGGAATACTTAAAATGTGAAGGTTTGTAAATAGTCTAGTACATGATAATGTTTGGCAGAGTCTGATACTATATAGAGATGACTTTTTAAAAAAATACTGTACAAGTTCTGTGCTTCTAGAGTGTGGGAATGGCTTGGGGAAGGTGCCCCCCAGCCTAAGAAGACTGTTGTGTTGTGTTATTTGTTCAATTTCAATAAAATTATTTGTAGATCCTACATGTGAAAAAAAAAAAAAAGAAAATATGTTCCCTATAATGCCAGCACCAAATGAACAAACAAAACTTAAGCTCAAACATCTCAGCACCCCCTAAAATAACCCCAAATACAAAATAGATTTCTGACTCTATGTAAAGGGTACAGAACACTTGCTTCAGTGATGATGCTCAAGGTAAGAAGAATGGCCGAAGGAGGACCTCGCTTTCAAGGTCATAACTGTTGCTCTTGAATTACAACACTGATCTCCCGTTTCTGACTGTGATCTCTTCTTTGCTTTGTTAGCAGTAACGTTGATAGGATAATGACATGAAAAATAGAAATGCAGAGATGATCTTGGATTTCAAAAGACTGAGATTCACTGAGCCAGAACAGCTGAACTGTCCTCTTGAACTCCTTCCTATCCAGCGTGGGGTGCTTCTGTGCCACCCAAGGAATGTTCACTGAATGACAAGCTCTCCGATATCCATCTTTTCTCCTTCCCTACCTTCTGTTTTCCACCCATTTTCCCCTTAGAGAGACGTGCAGCGTCGTAAAGTCACTTTGTTTTGCTTTCTCATGTAGCACTTTTCACGCACCCTCCAGTGCCACCACCCCGTCACTGGCCACTTCCTTCTCAGTGCTCCTCTGTCAACATGCTTACTGTGCTACTCACGTTTTTGGCCTGCACAGCATTCAAAGATGTGCAGCCCTCTGCCAGCGAATGCTCCTTCTCAAATACACCAGCAGTCATACGATAAAGGGCCCGGGACCCATCCCAGGAAGCTGTAATAATGGAGGAGGAAGACGTGGAGCTGGGTGGTTCTTAAGGAAAGAAGAGCTGCTCAGAGGAGTTTAGGAGGCCCATGTATGATGGATGAGACATGCAAAGTTTTTAGATCCTGAACAATGCTTTGGTTGAGAATCAACTCCCAGTGAAGCGAAAGGAAGATTACCCATTA